TTAAGGAGCAAATTTTTATGCTTTGAAGAATTTTTTTTCTTTATTTATATACCCACTTCCCAGGTAGCACACTCCCATAGCCTCCCTCCGCCACTAGAGCCCTTATACGCTGATATCCCTGCTACTGTCTGCTGTGTTGTCGGGACCCCCAGCCATTCCCCACTACTTGCCCTTCTGGTGAATCTAGTCAGCCTATCTAGAGGTCTTTGTTTTAGGAGGGTCAGCTGTTCCTCATCTAGCGGAATCAGCCCATCTTTTAATTGGGTTACTTCCTGTCTTGATTCTTCGCTTTTTGAGTTAGTTATATATTCTGGATGTTAAACTTCTATCAGATGTGTTGCTGGTGAAGATTTTCTCCCATTCTACAGGTTTTCTCTTCACTTCCTTGGTTGCTTTGTTTAATGTACAGAAGCTTTTTAGTTTAATGAGATCCCATTTATTGATTCTTGACCTTGTTTCCTGAGCAATTGAAGTCTGATTTAGAAAATCCTTTTCTGCACCTATATCTTGTAGGTTATTGCCAGTGTTTTCTTCTAACAGTTTCAGAGTTTCAGGCTTCACATTGAGGTCTTTGATCCATTTGGAGTGGACTTTTGTGCAAGGTGAAAGATAGGGGTTTAGTTTCATTCTTCTACAGGTGAAGATCCAGTTTTGCCAGCACTATTTGCTGAACATGCTGTCTTTCCTCCAGTGAATGCTCTTGGCCCTTTTGTCAAAAATCAGGTGGCTGAAATTGCATGTACTCATATTTGGGTCTTCAATTTTCTTCCATTGATCTACAGGCCTGTTTTTGTGCCAGTACCATGTTGTTTTTATGACTATAGCTCTGTAATACAGCTTAAAATCTGGTATAGTAATCCCCCCGGCATTGCTCTTAGTGCTCATGGTTGCTTTCACTATCTGGGGTCTTTTGAGCTTCCATATAAATCTTAGGATGGTTTTTTTCCAATTCTGTGAAGAATGTCATGGGGATTTTGATTGGCATTGCATTGAATCTGTAAATAGCTTGTGGTAGGATGGTCATTTTCATAGTATTAATTCTTCCAATCCATGAGTACGGGAAGTCCTTCCATCTTCTGATGTCTTCCTCAATATCTTTCTTTAAAGATTTAATATTTTCATTGTAGAGGTCTTTAATGTCTTTGATCGGGTTTATTCTGAGCTATTTTATTTTATTTTTTGCAGTTATTGTGAAATGGAGTGTTTCCATGTACTCTTTCTCTGATTGCTTGTTATTGATATATAGAAAGGCTTCAGACTTTTATAGATTAAATTTTAACTTGTCACTTTACTGAAAGTGTTAGTCATTTCTAGGAGTTTTCTGGTGGAATTTTTGGTGTCTCTAAGATATAATATCATATGATCTGAAAAAAAGGATAATTTTATCTCTCCTTTTCCAATGATTACTCCTTTAATTTCCTTCTCTTGTC